GTCAGCGAAGCTGCAAAGATCTTCATCGGATGAAAAACAACCTGAACTTGCTGAGTGGCCGTGCTTCCTTCAACTTGCGAAGATCATACCACACACAAAAAATTGTTTGTGTTACTTAAAAGGATGACGTGGATGAACAACAAGGAAAGCTGAGGCCGTCACCAAGCCATCCACGCTGCCTCTACCACCTTGATAGATAAATAAATGTGATCAAATTTCTGAAGCAACACACATGATCCAAGATCCAAGACGTGCAGACACAAGTACCTAAAACTGCACAAATCACACATGGACAAATGGCTGAATCGAGCTCATGGACAAGAATTTCATACCTCCACCAACTCGGACAACAGCAGGCGAGGAGATCGAACGCGGTGGCAGGAGGCAGAGTGGTGCGATGCGGAGCGAGGGCATAATATTCAAAATCCTGCAAAAAAAGTGACCTTGAGTCATAGCTTAATTGATTGCAAAAAACATACAACACATCTGCACCTGCTCAACTCTAGCCATGAACCTTGCTATAGGGAGATGAATAGCAAATATAGCATCAACCTTGAGAGCAAGGTGAGCAACACGTGAGATCACAAAGCTGTAGACAACAAAGCAAACAAAGGGAACCACAACAGGACCTGCAAACAAATAAAATCATATGGTCGCAACAAAACCAGAAGAACAAGCAGATGTACACTCAGAAACAACAAATAGGGGACTATATTAACAGGAAGCAAGCAAAAGACCCATTGGCCATATAAATCAATGGTTTGTTCTATTGGATGGCTAAACAACCTGCATGTATGAAAGATTAAGTACAAAGAGCAAACGGCGCTGTGGGCGTCTCCTGAATTAAAAGTAAACATTTGGAAATATCCCAAATGGTAAATCTATCACGAGAAGTTTCTTATGAATCTTTGTAGCAATTTTTTAGAGAGCATCAAACATGTAATCAGATAATTCTTTGTAAGCATGCATCCAAATTCATACTTGGACAGAGTGTAGAACAAGGGGCAGCAGATCAACACCCCCTTCAGTAAACAAACAGCCACCCCTGGCAGTACTGCAAAAGAAATCATGTAACTGAGATAAGCACTGATATAGGCATAGAATATATGAACAATCAAATTCAGTTGACCACTCTGTTCCTGCCAATGCCCTCCATGAGCTAATGAGAGGATCGATTCAATTGAAGGAAGCTTCCTCGTAGCAACATGGCCAAAACTATATGTGATTGCAAGCACACGGGATTGCTAGGTACAGATCAATTGAAAGAAATCTTAAGAACAAAAAACAAAATTTCCAAACATGCATCTTTTGAGCAGTACATGTATGTGTTGCTTATTCACCTTCTTTGCCATGGCTTGCTGCTCCAAGCACGTGCAGCCCCATATCCTCTATGGTTTGCTACTCCAAAACTGAGCAGCCCCCAAATCCTTCATTTTTACTGTTCTGTGTGTTTCTTCGTGTGAGAAAGGAGAAGAAACGACATAGAGAGATACATACGGGAGAAGGGAGAGAAGGGACGTGGTCACCTGTAGACTGTGGTCAAGCCGCCCTGGAAGCAAGGTCTCGCCCGACCTCACTGGTGCAGGCCGACGCCGGCGGTGGAAGACGACGAGCCGGCGGCACTCCTTCCGGTGGTCCTCTCCTGTCGGCCGTCGACCCCCTCTCCTCTTTCCTCTCTCTTTCTCCCTCCTCTCATGTTCTTCCTTCTCTCTCTCCCTCTCATCTTCTCTATCACGCAGATCAAATCGAGCGGCGCCGCCACCGCCCTTTGTCTGCAGGTCGTCACGCTCCTTTCGGTCACCCTCTCTTATCCGCCGTCACACCTCGGTCTCCTCTTTCCTCTATCTTTCTCCCTCCTCTCCTTCCTTGTCTCTCTCCCTCTCTCATCTTTTCTCTTCAGCAGATCGGATCGAGCGCCGCCGTTCTTTGCCGCCGCTGGAGAGGGCAGTGAAGAGGAGGAAGAGGCGGCACGGTGGAGAGCAGGGAAGAAGGGGAGGAGGCGGCGGCGGCGGCGCCGTGGAGAGGGAGGGGAGCGGGGCGGCTAGGGTTGGAGGGGAGGGGATTGGGTGTGCGTGTGGCTCGGGGCGGACGAGGGAGTGAGGAGCGAGGGGCGCGGGGCTGTGGATTGGGGCTAGGGTTCGCACGGTGTGGTGTTTTTTCTGCTCGCGTGGTGCGCTGCAACCCCACGCGCGGGCACGGTGCGGTGATCTTTTTTCCCTCGCGTGGTACAGTGCGCTCGAGGCCTTCGTTGTGACTACCTACCCCTTCATCCTTTATAAGTTAGATATCGTGGAATTGTCTATATCAATATTTCAAAAGTACTTTCGAGATGCTTTGTTATATCAACACAATATAAAATTAGCCTTTGCTATATCAATTGTCCAACCGCCGCACAGGCATTGCCGGACGTCTGCAACTAGCACCTAAGCGCCTGCTTGCTTTTTATGACAGCGCCGTCCACCCAGGACCCGTCCACAGCCAGGTACATTCCGCCTCCTGTCGATGACGTCCATGGCGGACACCACACCCAGTAGGTGTTCAGTCAAATGATGTTGAGCTTATTTTCATACGTCATGTCGTTTTTAGAGTACGAAGGATGACGGGGTACTCGACCATGGAGGAAGAGTTGTTGTGCGATGTGTGATTGGCCGTAGTCTTGGATTTCAAAGGCAGGGGCAGAAGGGGGCTCTTCTAGCAACGCGTATGATTTGTTTCACGCACGAAAGCACATTGCGCCCTCCGACATGCACATCATCCATGATCACAATGTAAATTTGTTATCGTATCGATGATACGCCATACAGACCACCATCACAAAGTTTTGTGACACAGTAGCTCGGCTGGTGGCAAGGTGGCCATTGCGCACGACAGCGAAGGAGATTGAAAGTTTTACTTCTTCTTACTCAACTTGTAGATTGAATCACTCATTTGCTCAATGTTGCTCTACACGTTGTGTAGCCCGTACGCGTTGCGGTGATGTACCACGGGATAGAGGGATGACCTTTACGTACATACACTGTTGGATGAAGCTGAAGGGGCAGTATGTGTGGGATGACATGATCCGTTCATGAGAAACTTGTTGAACATCCGGTTAATCTTATTGAATTTGAACTATTGTTGTGCTAAACTTATTTGCATGCTATGTATGCATGATTTGTGCTATTTTCTATCCGGACTTTCATGAATTATGTTGGGTTTGATGAATTTCATCTAGTTTGTTGAAACCCGGCTTGAAATGTATGCGGATATCCGGCTTTCACATTCGTGTCCGCGGACTGACCCACCCTGCCCGCGGACGGATGCGAGAGGAAATTTACGGGTCAGCGTTGGAGATGCCCTTAGTATTCTTAGATCTGTAATAACATTATAAGATGGAGATGCATAGCGTAGTCCATGGAAATAAATTACAAGGTAGATTCGGCCTGTAAGACAAAGATTTCAAAAGGGTTGAACTCCCTCCGTTCAATGGTCTCTATAAGTATTCTCTGGACAATATACACGGGCAATCTATTCCATTCCATGTCAACTTATGAATTATACGGGTAAAAAGAAAGAAAAAAAAGGAACATGTTCCTTGATGCATGAAGTAGGAAATGCCCCCAGACTAAATGGAGGGGCGGCATTTGCTCCCAGCTCTCTCCACAATCGATGCCTTCAATTAAGTACACTTTGAGGCTTTTGTATGACGATCAAATATACTACTCCTACAATGCAAAGGGAATTGACTTATATAGCTAAAAAGGAAAACAATTCGCGGTCTCTTTTGTTATTAGTGGCGATTCCATGTTCCGGTTGCTTGCTAAAGGATGGACTTTTCGGTTGAAGAATAAAAGGGTGTCATATAGTAGTACATAACTAAACAGAAATGGTTGGGCTATTTCTCATGGTGCCGATTTCGAAATCAAGTCCGGCCACGCTTGAGCGCAAAATGATGAGAAAATCTTGACATGGCTTGGTAACCGGCCGTTTCAATTGGATTGGAAGAGTGATAAGATGATATGAATATTGTCCCCGCCAAGAAAGAAGGAGATAATATAGATGCCGAGGCACCTGCCTCTGTGGAACACCGTAGATGAAAGATGCAAACATGTTCATTCGGTGATATAGCAGTGCGCGTGTGGTTTTGCCCGATTTTTTGGCAGTGGAGTGCGCATATGTCACGGAGGGGCCCTCCCACTGGCGGCAAAAGTATCTGTTCCCCCCCCCCCCATGCTAGTGGGA